AGCTCTAGGGAGTATGAAGTCATGACCCTTATCTCTAAGAGCCCTGTTACGTTTAGGTGGAAGCAAGTCGTACAATATATGATCAGTGTCACTGTGATTCTCTTAAGGGAGTGCTGTCCCTATTCTTTATTACATCAAATATTAAAATGATCTTATTTGTATAACTAAATCGATGGGCTCGCCTGATGGAGGTGTCAATCCGATCTAAATATTTGCCTTGAAAGGCGGAGCCCTACACTTCTAATCCATACAGAAACAGTGAAATTTTCAAAGATTCGAAGAGTTTATTGAGCTGATCTTTAGTGTATCCATCATACCTGCATACTCTAAGAATATACAGTTGACTAGCAGCTCTGGACAGTAAATTGTCAATATGAAGATCCCAGTTACAACAATCTTCCTGGAAATAATTCCCCGACGTTCCAGCCACTCTTACTGCTTAATCCCAGACATTGGAGGGGGAGCAGACTTAGTAGTTGTACTTAACAATTATACATTCGCCGAAAGCGAAGTGAACATTGGTGAATACTCACAGAAACGAATACGAGTTATTAAAAGATTTTTGGGCCCAGGGTAATGGCCTTCATTTTGAAAATTCTCCATCCTTTTAAATATCCTGAGCTGGAGTGATGTCTTCCAAATAAATGAAAAATTCATTCAGCAACTGTCTGCAATGTTTACTTGCCGAGATGTCAAAGGAGGCGAGCTTAGTAACCAAGCCTCAAAAATGTTGTATAAGGAATCGCTCAACCAATCAGATTACTGGAAACTATTTGTTCAGCTCTGATATTATACTAATATGCAATAGCATTTCTCACGTCTTTGACAAATTCAAAGACATCCTGTTGTTGGCTGCCCAGCTCTCACGGTTCTTAACTTCCGCAAGCGCTGTGTCCAAGTTTCTTCTAATAGGCACAGTAATAGTGACGTCATCGGCATATTTCACGATCCCATTATTTAAATCGACTAGTTCTATATCGTTCACCATCAGAGAGAATAAAAATGGCTGAAGGACTGTGCCCTGTGGCACCCCTCTTTTAATGTCAACATAACCAGTAATCTTCCCATCAAGAACGACCCTCTGTTCGCAGTTGCCAAGGAAGCTGATAATCCAGTTGATGATATATGGATTAAGATTAGTAAACTTCAGCTTATCGCATACATTCTATATTTTGTGGGAGACAGTGTCAAATGCTTTAGTAAGGTCAAATGACAAAACTCCACCAAAGGTCTACATCTTCTACCAACCAACTGAGCCAATTATGTTGACACTTAATAAACGTCTTTGTGGTATTGCAATATTCCTTATAGGCGGACTGATCCATACCAATCGCAAACTTAAGCTCCTTCAAAACCCTCTTGTTTATACATATTAACCTCTAAAAACATTCTCATGGTGATGTTCGTGACGGATATCGGTCGAAGCTGAGCACACGATGACAGTGGAGATTCTTTAGGTATTGCAGATATGTTGGCAAGCTTAATTCCATGGAAGAGGAACTGAATGCTGACTGAGGGAAGAACTAAAAAGCTTTCTAACTATTGGAGCAAGGTGGTGTGCAAAATCTCTCCACAGCCGGTAGAGGAATTCCATCCGGACCTGCAGCTGTACGTTTCGACCGGGTCATAAACCTAACAGTATGCACTTCAAGAGCAAGGCCAAGTTCGTTCCGGTTTAAGTGATAGCTCCGGGACTGAAGACTGTGTGTCAGTGTTGATTTTTTTACGACAACAGGCTTATATCCTCAGGGTTATTAACAGAGCTGATATTTTGTGCCTTAGACTCTCTTGTAACAATTTTGTTTACAGTATTCCACCAACCCTTCGTCCCAGTTCCATGTTTGCTGTTTACATTGCGTACAGCCCACACTTGGTTGTTGAGGATAAGCTCATAGATCCTTGCTTGTAGGTCAAAATTCTTATTCCTGATGGTACACAGGTGTTTAACCATTGTCGTCATATAAGGGGAGGGGGGGGGTTCCCATGAAGACACCTTAACCTTAATCCGGGGGAAGCATTCATTGGATATCCCTGCAAGGGTATCATTCAATAAATGGGTCGCCGCGGTGATATCGTCACACGACAAAACATTGCTCCAGACGTGCATGCTTCCAGCCTTTGCAGCATACATAACCCGAGTCTAAGATATGGTCACGTGATACTGGTCAGTGAATACCTTGTTTTGACAGCTGTCAATTAACTATAACATGAATGTCCAATATCAAAGACGTACCTATGGTAACAGAGTTACTCTCTTAATTTTCAAGGTATTGGGCTTGGCGTGTGGACGTACGGACTTGCGGACGTGCGAACGGACGTATGTACGGACAGTCACGTGACAACCAAATTTTTTAAGAGCGTTGGGTTACCAAATTTTCTAAGGTATGGGGCTCAGCTGGCGTACCTTCGGCGCGCAGGGGCTCCGTTATTATGAGTAAAACTAAAAAGCAAGCAAGAAAGATGCAGACAGATTATAAACCACGATTTCGAAAAATATCACTCACGTGTAATATTTCAAAATGTGTCGTGCATTAACGTAGTCCCCTTTCCAGTCCGAGCGCTCGTGAACGACTAAACTCAGTAGTGAATGTTTACAACAGATCTCATAGAATTGCTCGGGATTGAGGAACCTTCTAAAGGTGAAATGGCAGCTTGACTATGAACTGTGCGTAATTTTTCACATAATTTTGCTAAATAGGCATCACTAAAACCGTATTTGCAAACCTACAAGACGAGGTAATAAAGCCGATATAGATCTCGCTTGAAAT